GAGGATCCTGCCGCCAACCCCGCCCTGTCATGTTTGCGCTCACTCCAGGAGGCATTTGCAAGCACCACGGTATCCTGGACCCATGTCGGTGTCCGTCGGTTCGGGTTGGTGCCCCCAGCCAGACAGAGCCAGGACCTTCATGCCGTGTTGACGGACGGCTACCCGGTCGCTGCTGCCGCTCCCGCTCCCCGATTGTTGGCACCGGATACCATCCCGAGGCACGCGAGTGGGGGAGGACGGGTGTCGGCGATCGGAGATCGGACCCACGCCTTACACCCGGGAGTGGGGCAGGGAAGACGTGTGGCACGGAACAGGGCACGCAGGCGTTCTGCCAGGGCGCCGGAGAACCGATCGACGGCCAACGGCGCAGTAAGTGCTGCTGGAGCAGGAGCGAGCATGATCGGAGGCAAGTATCGGTGTTTGTCAAACCCTCATGGTAAACCTCAAATGTCTGTCGCAGTTTTCCGAAGGACAGGTCAGAGGTCGATTGGGTTCGGTGTTCGACAGCCAATCTCTCGTGTAACAACTCTCTCGTGTGACGATACTAGTGGCAGGACGGTTCATTCTTCATGCTGAATCCAATGCAGCACCTCCGGAGACTGTTGGCGGCCTGCCGGTTCCGAGCGACAACCGTCTTTTTCGACCTCCCCCACCAACTCACAAGAATATCGTCAAATACAACAGCAACAACAATGGCAGAATCTACTGCTGAACGCCTCTCATTAACAAACAGTCGCGGCGCAGCGCAAACGACAACAACAACATCAGCCCCAACGGTCAGAAACGCCTTGCGTAATGGCTACTGTCAACGAATGTGACGATCCTCCCCCTGGCTGACCGTTGACATTCCTGGCGAGGAAAGACAGTGCCAACGGAGGTACTGTGTGTAGTTTCGTGCATGAGTGTCCAACAATTGTTTTGTTCTTCGATTCTCCCAAATTGACCCACGAATCAACTATCTTGACAGACCTTCAGCAGCAGCAAAGCTAGCAAACCGCATGTTTGCAACAGCAACAACGACGACAACAAGGTCCGATTCGTAGCTATTCTCCCTCTTCATGTTGCAGAAAGTGCTATCCTCCACAGTACGCCGAAACTGGCACATTTCTCTCTTGCTTTGCAGCAGGTGGAGAAAGGAGAGTGGGCCGTGGGGGGCGTTCGGCAATATTGCTGTCGCTAAACCTCGACAACGAGGACGAGACATGGACCAGGTTGATGGCGGTCCATCGGTGGCTACTCTCCCGTGGTGAGATGAACTACGTTGGGGGATTGTTGTTGTTGTCGCTGTTGCCGCTTGTTGTTATTGGTCGTCGTGGTGGGGGCGACGATAGAGGTAGAATTGCCGCTGTCGCTACTGGTGTTGGCTTGTGTTGGCAAGATGCTGGAGTACTTGGGAATACTCAGATCGTTCTGGTGGTTCTACAAGCATATGCGATCATTACCGACAGCTGTTTATCGGCGACGCCGGGCGTTCGATACCCTTGCGGGAGGCTCTGCCATTCGTTCGGGGAAGGCTGCGATAGCATTTTGGATAGTACATGCCAATCGATTAATATCGATGTCCTTACACAATCGAGTGCTGTCTGGGGGCTAGACGGGGCTGCTAATCTCGTTCGCCCTCTAAACCATACACTTCGGTTGTTGATGCTCTCAGGTGAAAACGTTCCCCTCAACCAAGGACCGAGCAGGGGACATGCCTTCGGGGACCTCCACGTGGAGGCCACGAGCTCCGGCTCGACAGATGTGAGTATCGGACGGTATCTCCTGGGTGCTGAAGACGCAGACGGGTACAATGTTGGTAGACGGTCCTTGTCACCGGCTAGTCTGGTCTAAGCGACACGGGGGCTTCCGAGAGTCAACCATCCTTGATTCGCAAAACGGTTGGGGTGGTTCAGCTTGAACCGTCCTTTCACGGGATATGTAGTGTTGCGAAACAAACGCAACAGGGGATGGGGGACAGCGGCGCGACTTGATATCGGAGCTTGTCTGCCCCTGGAATCGAGGAGAAGGCATTGGGTAGAGGTTGACGGTTCCAGAGTGAACAACCAAACCCCACATAATCAATTGACAGACTTCCGCGAACGCCGTACTTTCGTTTCCTTGGTGTGTGTATCGATCTCATTCAAATTAGTTGTACGGGATCTCATCGGCCATGCATGCGCTCCCCCCTGATCCCCCGTTTCTTGCAATTCTCAGGTGGGACGGTGGTTGACCTTCTTCCAGTCCACCGTTGTCCGGACCATCTTGGAGGTTAGCAGCAGACTTGTCGTAGCGTTTGATTCTGAAAACCCATAGGGAAGAGGGTGGTCACCGTATTTCTGTGGACACAACCAAACGGTGCCCCTTGCATAGCGGGAACTCATGTGTAGACTAGACTATGTTCGTGAGGACGTTGGTGAGCAGTACCGTGGTATATATTCCCCGTGATGATTTACCTGCATGGACGTGCTGAAACATGGCGTTCTCGCTGGGGTAGATCAAGAGGAGATTGGGTACGTGCATGGCGCATCTCCCTTGTGGTTCACGAAAACACCGCTTTGCACAAGAACCGCGTCGTTGCAACGAACCAACAGCCGAACCCAGAATGGGCGTTTGAAAACGTTTTCGAACATTCTTGAAAACAAAGGGATGTGATCTGCTCCCAGAGTGCTACCCTTCCCCTCCTGTTCGAAGTTTGCCGGACCCATGCAAGGGACAACCGCCGGTGGTAGCGAACCTCGCCCCTGTACAATTTCATTGGAAACGCCCGTAGTCGCGCCACGTGGGGCGATCTCTGTGCCTCTCGGGAATATCTCTCGAGTTTGATTGTGACGTTTTGTATGAAACTTGATATGTCTCCCCCTCCTTCTTGGTTTTCATTGAAGCGTCTGCCTGCATCGGGTGTAGTAGCAAGTTTGTGTTGGCTGAGATCTGCAGTTCCTAGCGTTTACCCAGACAAGGCACAAGGGTAAAGGGGTTGCAAACGCCTCGTAGAGCGAAAACGCAGCTGAATAGCCATTCTATCCCTCTTGGTATCAATAGAGAGAGCGATCGCCCCAAGCCCCTCCACCGTCCAATGTGCCAATTGGTGGTCAAACCGTTGCCCTGAGGGTGAGGCCGTTTCCAACAAAACATATTCTCGAGGATCCTGCCGCCAACCCCGCCCTGTCATGTTTGCGCGCACTCCAGGAGGCATTTGCAAGCACCACGGTATCCTGGACCCATGTCGGTGTCCGTCGGTTCGGGTTGGTGCCCCCAGCCAGACAGAGCCAGGACCTTCATGCCGTGTTGACGGACGGCTACCCGGTCGCTGCTGCCGCTCCCGCTCCCCGATTGTTGGCACCGGATACCATCCCGAGGCACGCGAGTGGGGGAGGACGGGTGTCGGCGATCGGAGATCGGACCCACGCCTTACACCCGGGAGTGGGGCAGGGAAGACGTGTGGCACGGAACAGGGCACGCAGGCGTTCTGCCAGGGCGCCGGAGAACCGATCGACGGCCAACGGCGCAGTAAGTGCTGCTGGAGCAGGAGCGAGCATGATCGGAGGCAAGTATCGGTGTTTGTCAAACCCTCATGGTAAACCTCAAATGTCTGTCGCAGTTTTCCGAAGGACAGTACGAAGAGAGGTCAGAGGTCGATTGGGTTCGGTGTTCGACAGCCAATCTCTCGTGTAACAACTCTCTCGTGTGACGATACTAGTGGCAGGACGGTTCATTCTTCATGCTGAATCCAATGCAGCACCTCCGGAGACTGTTGGCGGCGTGCAGGTACCAAGCGACAACCGTCTTTTTCGACCTCCGCCACCACCCCACAAGAATATCGTCAAATACAACAGCAACAACAACGGCAGAATCTACTGCTGAACGCCTCCCAATAACAAACGGTCGCGGCGCAGCGCAAACGACAACAACAACATCAGCCCCAACGGTCAGAAACGCCTTGCGTAATGGCTACTGTCAACGAATGTGACGATCCTCCCCCTGGCTGACCGTTGACATTCCTGGCGAGGAAAGACAGTGCCAACGGAGGTACTGTGTGTAGTTTCGTGCATGAGTGTCCAACAATTGTTTTGTTCTTCGATTCTCCCAAATTGACCCACGAATCAACTATCTTGACAGACCTTCAGCAGCAGCAAAGCTAGCAAACCGCACGTTTGCAACAGCAACAACGACGACAACAAGGTCCGATTCGTAGCTATTCTCCCTCTTCATGTTGCAGAAAGTGCTATCCTCCACAGTACGCCGAAACTGGCACATTTCTCTCTTGCTTTGCAGCAGGTGGAGAAAGGAGAGTGGGCCGTGGGGGGCGTTCGGCAATATTGCTGTCGCTAAACCTCGACAACGAGGACGAGACATGGACCAGGTTGATGGCGGTCCATCGGTGGCTACTCTCCCGTGGTGAGATGAACTACGTTGGGGGATTGTTGTTGTTGTCGCTGTTGCCGCTTGTTGTTATTGGTCGTCGTGGTGGGGGCGACGATAGAGGTAGAATTGCCGCTGTCGCTACTGGTGTTGGCTTGTGTTGGCAAGATGCTGGAGTACTTGGGAATACTCAGATCGTTCTGGTGGTTCTACAAGCATATGCGATCATTACCGACAGCTGTTTATCGGCGACGCCGGGCGTTCGATACCCTTGCGGGAGGCTCTGCCATTCGTTCGGGGAAGGCTGCGATAGCATTTTGGATAGTACATGCCAATCGATTAATATCGATGTCCTTACACAATCGAGTGCTGTCTGGGGGCTAGACGGGGCTGCTAATCTCGTTCGCCCTCTAAACCATACACTTCGGTTGTTGATGCTCTCAGGTGAAAACGTTCTCCTCAACCAAGGACCGAGCAGGGGACATGCCTTCGGGGACCTCCACGTGGAGGCCACGAGCTCCGGCTCGACAGATGTGAGTATCGGACGGTATCTCCTGGGTGCTGAAGACGCAGACGGGTACAATGTTGGTAGACGGTCCTTGTCACCGGCTAGTCTGGTCTAAGCGACACGGGGGCTTCCGAGAGTCAACCATCCTTGATTCGCATAACGGTTGGGGTGGTTCAGCTTGAACCGTCCTTTCACGGGATATGTAGTGTTGCGAAACAAACGCAACAGGGGATGGGGGACAGCGGCGCGAGTCGATATCGGAGCTTGTCTGCCCCTGGAATCGAGGAGAAGGCATTGGGTAGAGGTTGACGGTTCCAGAGTGAACAACCAAACCCCACATAATCAATTGACAGACTTCCGCGAACGCCGTACTTTCGTTTCCTTGGTGTGCGTATCGATCTCATTCAAATTAGTTGTACGGGATCTCATCGGCCATGCATGCGCTCCCCCCTGATCCCCCGTTTCTTGCAATTCTCAGGTGGGACGGTGGTTGACCTTCTTCCAGTCTACCGTTGTCCGGACCATCTTGGAGGTTAGCAGCAGACTTGTCGTAGCGTTTGATTCTGAAAACCCATAGGGAAGAGGGTGGTCACCGTATTTCTGTGGACACAACCAAACGGTGCCCCTTGCATAGCGGGAACTCATGTGTAGACTAGACTATGTTCGTGAGGACGTTGGTGAGCAGTACCGTGGTATATATTCCCCGTGATGATTTACCTGCATGGACGTGCTGAAACATGGCGTTCTCGCTGGGGTAGATCAAGAGGAGATTGGGTACGTGCATGGCGCATCTCCCTTGTGGTTCACGAAAACACCGCTTTGCACAAGAACCGCGTCGTTGCAACGAACCAACAGCCGAACCCAGAATGGGCGTTTGAAAACGTTTTCGAACATTCTTGAAAACAAAGGGATGTGATCTGCTCCCAGAGTGCTACCCTTCCCCTCCTGTTTGAAGTTTGCCGGACCCATGCAAGGGACAACCGCCGGTGGTAGCGAACCTCGCCCCTGTACAATTTCATTGGAAACGCCCGTAGTCGCGCCACGTGGGGCGATCTCTGTGCCTCTCGGGAATATCTCTCGAGCTTGATTGTGACGTTTTGTATCAAACTTGATATGTCTCCCCCTCCTTCTTGGTTTTCATTGAAGCGTCTGCCTGCATCGGGTGTAGTAGCAAGTTTGTGTTGGCCGAGATCTGCGGTTCCTAGCGTTTACCCAGACAAGGCACAAGGGTAAAGGGGTTGCAAACGCCTCGTAGAGCGAAAACGCAGCTGAATAGCCATTCTATCCCTGTTGGTATCAATAGAGAGAGCGATCGCCCCAAGCCCCTCCACCGTCCAATGTGCCAATTGGTGGTCAAACCGTTGCCCTGAGGGTGAGGCCGTTTCCAACAAAACATATTCTCGAGGATCCTGCCGCCAACCCCGCCCTGTCATGTTTGCGCGCACTCCAGGAGGCATTTGCAAGCACCACCGTATCCTGGACCCATGTCCGTGTCCGTCGGTTCGGGTTGGTGCCCCCAGCCAGACAGAGCCAGGACCTTCATGCCGTGTTGACGGACGGCTACCCGGTCGCTGCTGCCGCTCCCGCTCCCCGATTGTTGGCACCGGATACCATCCCGAGGCACGCGAGTGGGGGAGGACGGGTGTCGGCGATCGGAGATCGGACCCACGCCTTACACCCGGGAGTGGGGCAGGGAAGACGTGTGGCACGGAACAGGGCACGCAGGCGTTCTGCCAGGGCGCCGGAGAACCGATCGACGGCCAACGGCGCAGTAAGTGCTGCTGGAGCAGGAGCGAGCATGATCGGAGGCAAGTATTCGGTGTTTGTCAAACCCTCATGGTAAACCTCAAATGTCTGTCGCAGTTTTCCGAAGGACAGGTCAGAGGTCGATTGGGTTCGGTGTTCGACAGCCAAGGTGTAACAACTCTCTCGTGTGACGATACTAGTGGCAGGACGGTTTATTCTTCATGCTGAATCCAATGCAGCACCTCCGGAGACTGTTGGCGGCCTGCGGGTTCCGAGCGACAACCGTCTTTTTCGACCTCCGCCACCACCCCACAAGAATATCGTCAAATATCTCAACAGCAACAACAACGGCAGAATCTACTGCTGAACGCCTCCCAATAACAAACAGTCGCGGCGCAGCGCAAACGACAACAACAACATCAGCCCCAACGGTCAGAAACGCCTTGCGTAATGGCTACTGTCAACGAATGTGACGATCCTCCCCCTGGCTGACCGTTGACATTCCTGGCGAGGAAAGACAGTGCCAACGGAGGTACTGTGTGTAGTTTCGTGCATGAGTGTCCAACAATTGTTTTGTTCTTCGATTCTCCCAAATTGACCCACGAATCAACTATCTTGACAGACCTTCAGCAGCAGCAAAGCTAGCAAACCGCACGTTTGCAACAGCAACAACGACGACAACAAGGTCCGATTCGTAGCTGTTCTCCCTCTTCATGTTGCAGAAAGTGCTATCCTCCACAGTACACCGAAACTGGCACATTTCTCTCTTGCTTTGCAGCAGGTGGAGAAAGGAGAGTGGGCCGTGGGGGGCGTTCGGCAATATTGCTGTCGCTAAACCTCGACAACGAGGACGAGACATGGACCAGGTTGATGGCGGTCCATCGGTGGCTACTCTCCCGTGGTGAGATGAACTACGTTGGGGGATTGTTGTTGTTGTCGCTGTTGCCGTCCTTGTTGGAGCTGCTTTAGTGAACCGACCTTGGTGGTGGAGTTGTTGTTGTTGCCGCTTGTTGTTATTGGTCGACGTGGTGGGGGCGACGATAGAGGTAGAATTGCTGCTATCGCTATCGTTGTTGGTGTTGACTTGTGTGGGTACGATGCTGGAGTCGTAATAAGATCGTTCTGGTGGTTCTACAAGCATATGCGATCATTACCAACAGCTCTTTATCGGCGACGCCGGGTGGCCGATACCCTTGCGGGAGGCTCTGCCATGTTCGTTCGGGGAAGGCTGCGATAGCATTTTGGCTAGTACATGCCAATCGGGAAATACCGATGTCCTTACACAATCGAGTGCTGTCTGGGGGCTAGACGGGGCTGCCATTGTCGTTCGCCCTCTAAACCATACACTTCGGTTGTTGATGCTCTCAGGTGGAACCAATCGCCTCAGTCAAGGACCGAGCAGGGGACATGTCTTCGGGGACCTCCACGTGGAGGCCACGAGCTCCGGCTCGACAGATGTGAGTATCGGACGGTATCTCCTGGGTGCTGAAGACACAGACGGGTACAATGTCGGTAGACGGTCCTTGTCGCCGGCTAGTCTGGTCTAAGCGACACGGGGGCTTCTGAGAGCCAACCGTCCTTGATTCGCATAACGGGTGGGGTGGTTCAGCTTGAACAAACTCGGTTGCTCACGGGATATGTAGTGTTGCGAAACAAACGCAACAGGGGATGGGGGACAGCAGCGCGAGTCGATATCGGAGCTTGTCTGCCCCTGGAATCGAGGAGAAGGCATTGGGTAGAGGTCGACGGTTCCAGAGTGAACAACCAAACCCCACATCATCAATTGACAGACTTCCGCGAACGCCGTACTTTCGTTTCCTTGGTGTGCGTATCGATCTCATTCAAATTCGTGGTCCGGGGATTCACCGGCCGTGCGTGCGCTCCCCCCTGATCCCCCGTTTCTTGCAATTCTCAGATGGGACGGTGGTTGACCTTCCTCCAGTCCGATACTGTCCGGACCATCTTGGAGGTTAGCAGCAGACGTGTCATAGTGCTTGGTTCTGAAATAGGGAAGAGGGTGGTCACCGTTTACCTGTGGACACAACAAACTGTCCTCCTTGCAGATCGGGAACTCATGTGTAGACTAGACTATGTTCGTGAGGACGTCGAAAACATACCGTGACCATTTCAACGACGTCATTGTTCACCTGCACTACATGGACTGGACGTGCTGAAACCATGGCGCGCTCTTGCTGAGGTAGATCAGGAGGAGATTGGGTACATGCATGGCTCACCCCCCTCGTGGTTCAGGAAAACACCGTTTTGCAATAGAACCGCGTCGTTGCAATGAACGAACAACAAAACCGAGAATGAATATTTTATTTCTCGACTACGTTTGGAAACTAACGGATGTGATCTGCTCCCACAGTGCTATCCTTCCCCTCCCGTTCGAATTTTGCCGGACCCATGCGAAAGACAACTGCCAATGGCGGCGAACCTCGCCGCTGAATGGTGTAGTTGACAACGCCCGTACGCGCGCCATGTAGGGCGATCTCTGTGCCGCTCGGGATTATCTCCCGCTTTTGATCCGTGATGATGTATTGTATGAAACGTGATCCGTCTCCCTTTTTCTCATGCCACATGTGTCAGATTTCGCCGCATCAGGTGTAGTACGAAACGACATTCTTCGGCTGCGGTCTGAGTTTCCAGCAGTAGCGTTTACCCAGACAGTGCACCGGAGACGGGGGGTTTGCAAAATGTACAGCGCAAGTCCCTCCTGGCATCAATAGAGACAGAGCGGTCGCTCCAAGCCGTTCCACCGTTCGATGTGCCAATTTCTGGCCAAAACGTTGCCCTGAGGGTGTTGTCGTTTCCAACAAAAGGTATTACCAACGATCCTGGCGCCAACCCCGCCCTCTCATGTTTGCGCGCACTCCAGGAGGCGTTTGCGAGTGTGGTCGTGTCCTGGACCCATGCCGGTGTCCGTCGGTCCGGCTTGGTGACCCCAGCCAGACAGAGCCAGGACCTGCACGCCGTGTTGACGGACACCTACCCGGTCGGTGCTGCTTCCGCTCCTGCTCCCCGACTGTGTGCGCCGGATGCTATCCCGACGCCCGTGAGCGGAGAAGGACGGGTGTCGGTGGTCGGAGATCGGACCCACGCCTTACGACCAGCAGTGATGGGGGGACACAGGGCTCCCGCCAGGGCGCTGGATAACGGATGGCCGGCCAACGGGGAAGAATTCGCTGCTACACAGGCAGGGCCAGCAAGTACGGCAAGGCAGCAGGAGGAGGTCGCGCATTTGGCAGGGGCGCACATGACCTCTGCACCGCAGGTCTGATTGAGAAGCATATCGTGTTTTCGGTCAAGAATTTAGTCATCCCGGTGTTTGGCGGGTCAACGCTCCGAGAGCATGAAACAAGCGCCCGTAGGATTGATGGGTGGAGTTAGCCGATGGCCGGTTGTCCGAACTCTCCCTCCTCCGTTCTCACCTGTATGCATACTCGCGCCAATCCCATCATCGCGATCCTCCTTTCCCGGCGTTTTGCAGTTAGCCGCACGAGCCGCACAATCCACTGCAAGGGACTACGGACGGGCCTCGGGTACGTCTAGGCCGTCGGCGAAGGCCGCCCCTGCGGCTTTGGCCACCCTGCCGTCCCGCGGGGGCGTGTTGGCAGCCTCACTCGCAAGGAATCGGGTAGGCACCGGAGGAATCGGCGTGGATGAAGCCAGCCGCGTACCGATGGCCTCGACGGCAGCCGCAGCGGGGCTTTCCGATCGTGCGCGTGGTCGGAGGCCTGCGCGTACTGGCAAGGCTGGAGGTGGTGTTGGTGCTGGTACTGGTCCGAATGCTACTGCTGCTGCTGCTGCTGCTGCTGCTGCCGCTGCTGCCGCTGCAGCTGCTGCCGCCGCTGATGATGTTGCCCCTGCTGCTGCTGGGAAGCGGGCGGCCATCGCGCCAAGCAACAAGGTGGGCGGAATCGTGCTTGCCGCCCAGGCGCGTAGTATCTCTGTGCCCCTTGTGTGGTGTATTATCGAAGTGTCGTCTTCGATCAATCTCCCGGGTGAACGGGGCTCTTGGATGCCTCGATTCTTTTGCGGACCTAGGCCCCCGTGCCTAAGCCCTGTTTTTGTTTTGTTTTGCTGTTCGTGTTCGGATGGTTTTTATCCTAGCCGTCCTTTTTTTGCCAAACCTCTTCCACTCCCTCTGTCTTGCAGGGTGAAGCTTCTGGTGGAGATCATGTCAGGATTGGGGGGACACCTGCAACAACGTCGCCTGCACGAGCAGCTGAGACGGGAGGGGGCGGGTCGAGCGAGCATGCTGTGCCGTCGGCAATGGCCGAGCCAGTGCCTTCGACGGCACAATTGAGCTGCTGGCGAGGCGCTAGTAGCTTCCAGGACCCGCCGATTACGGGAAGCAACGGGAACGGCGGGGCGACGTCCAGCGGGGGTGAATTTGGTGGCGCACGGAGCGAAGGGAAGCCGCAGCAACCAGCGGCGGCGGCGGCGGCGGTGGCGGTTGCCGCTGGGCTTGCGGGGGTGGCGGTGGCGAGTGCTGGGAGTGCTGGTTCTTCCCCGCTGACCGGTGCTGGAGGTATCGCCGAAACCGGCGGCAAGAAGGTGCGGAAGAAGACAAAGCCGGTGTCCGCAGCTGTTTTGGAGGTGCGCAACCGGCGTCGGGAGAAGATCCAGGAGAAAGCGGCGCAGAGGAGGTCATCGGCTGTTGCCCAACCCGTTGCCGAACCACGCGAGTCTCTGCCTGGGAACACCGCCACTGCTGAGCTTGGTGGTGGTGGTGGAAACACGGAGCCTACCGCTGTGGCGAAGAAAAATCTACGTAAACCCGGACGCGCGCCAGACCTCGGCGTTGCGGCTTTACACAAAGCCTTGTGGGGCGGGGGCGGAAAACGAGCGACCCAGGGTCAAAGGTCCTCCAGCAACAACGTTGCTGGGCTTAACACTGGAAAGGGCTCGGGCGCGCAGGTACACGGACGAGATTGTACCGTGAAGGCGGCCGATCGCGATGTCGTCGCGCTTGATGATGGCTAGCATCACTCCGGCTGATAACTCGTGGTAGATCCCACTAGGAAATGGAGCTCTCGTTCGAAACGAAAATCAGTGCCCGAGGGGAAGGCTTGTCGGTTCTTCTTTCCGCAGTATATCGTTCGGTTTGTTCTGATCACGGTTACTAGTCCCGAAGGATGCGCTTGAGCGTGCTATTTCGCGCTGCGGGTTCCACCTCATAGGGGGATCATTTTCTTTGTGCGTAGTGGTGTTAATGTAGCGAACTGTTTTCCGAACTTGTCCGATGGAATTTTGTTTCTCAGCACCTGCTCGTCTTGCAAGGACTTGGCACGGTTTGTTATGTTCTGAAAGAAACAACACGGCAGCATCGACACGAAATCAGGGCAATAAATGAGGACCCTCCGCGGGATAGACTACTGTGTTGGTCTGCGCTGGGTAGTGCCCCTGGGAGTATTCCATGAACAATTCGTTTCTCCACTCCCCCCTGTGCTCGCCTACGTTCTGCACGGCTAGGGATGGGTGCTGCAGAAGGAAATGCGGCAGCAGGAACGATGCATACGGTACTGGAACCAGCAGCAGCAGCAGCAGCAGGAGCCGGAGGAGGGGCTCGTACAGGGGGCGGGTTCTCCCGAGCCACATGCTTGGCAAGAGGCGGGGGGAGGCGTTAAGGTCCGCGAGTATGCGCCGGAGGGGGGAGGCGCCACGGTCCGCAAGTATACGCCCGAGGAGCAGAGGGAGGAAAACGAGAGGGCGGACAAGAAGCAGGAGGGAAAGAAGGAGAAGGGGGAAGAGAACCGGAAGGAAGAGGAGGCGGAAAGGGTGAATGGCAGGCCTGCCTCGCACATGGCACCTTCCTGCGCTGCCGATCAAGGAACGACCCACGCTGCAGCCTCATCTGATTTCGAGGGAAGATGTTACGACGAGGAGGTAAGCAGAACAAGAAGCGGCACCGGCGTTTCCATTGTGTGAAACGCAACTCCCCCAAGCACTTCACGCGTGTTGAACTGCGCCTTGTCTACCCCATCTCCGTCCCCGCTCAAGGGCAAATAGCACCCGTCCCAAGCTGTCATAGTTCCACACCGTTTTGAGTTTGTGAAGTTCACTCTACGTTGGAGGTGCCTCAGGTACTGCCGCTTGCAGCAAGCGGACGCGAGCTTGTTCCCCAATCTGAGAGTTTCGTTCTCGTCTTGTCGCCTTGCTACCCTTGCCCTCTCTTCCTCTTCTAGGTAGCGAAGTCCAAGAAGCTATTGTCCTTCGAGGACGCCGAGTCGTTCTTGGCCAAGAACCTGCCGGGCGTCGAGGACGTGTACTCGATGGGTCAGACCATCGGCATCTCGATCCGGGGGGACGGCAACTGTTTCTGGACGTCTTGCTCTCTTGCGGCGCTGCTATGGGCCTCGTGCCAGGACCGCCTGCATCACCTGCAAGATATTCTCGCCCGTTACAGGGCTATTTGTCGGGGTAGCTGCCGCGCGTACTACGCCCTCTCGCTGGCAATGAAGGTGTGTTCTGAGTCTTATCGCCGTACGCAGGAAGTTCGCAAATAGGTGCGCCGGTTGGACGGTTCGCCGAGGGTACTGTTCAGCTCTACCGTAACTCCCTCTAACGTGTTGACCTACATACCATCGCTCTTCCAGAGCAGTGAGCCGAGGGACGAAATTGCTTTCGTGTTGTGACATTGATCGCTGACATCGGGTTCTGTAGTGCGGAACAACAATTGTTCGGTGCTTCCGGGAGCTGCTTTGTGAGGAAGGGTCTTTTCTTTGCCTTCTCCATCATAAACGCGGGTGACATTCGTATTTAGACTCACCTCCGGGCATTGCTCTTGTGTCCGATCGCAAATATCCGCAGTCACGGGTCTGCTCGGGAGTCACATAGACTGGTGTGATTTGTGAAGATGATTCGCCTATGGATGATACATGATAATTGACTTAAGTATGTAGGAATGGCGATGTACCATTCAGTATCCTTACGAGGGAAGAAGTTGAACAAAATGGCGTTGCCAGTTCCTCGCACTCGCTGCCCAGAGTGAGCGAATCGATGACGACCTCCCGAAATACGAAACTTGCTGGTTCCTCAGAAAGGGATTCCGTGGTTCTTCGGTCGTTCAGATGTAGGTGGGAAGCCAACGCGTTGGTGCGAGAGTTTCCCCGCCTCGCCGTTCGGTTCGGTAACGAGCACGCATGGCAGGCAGTGGACCTTTTGCTGCGCCATACATATCCTCCCACAACACGGCCCAGTGTCATAGAACGTCTCTACGCCGTCTCGAACCGGTAAACAATGCAGGTCTTGCTACGCCCTTTTCCCTTGTAGTTCTCCAACTTGTTTGATTTTTCCGCCTCTTTTCCCTCCGTCGTTAACCCCTCAAAGGAGAACGTTGACACGTTCGTTTCCTTCGTGGAGATGCTTCTTCGCCTCAAGACGACGGGCACCTCCAACCAGGACCTGGTGGGTTTCCTTGTACGCCATCTCTCGAAACCCTCCGAGGGGAATCAAGAAGGCAGCCTCCACGCGCCCTTGTTCAAGGGCATGGTCCTCGCCACACGAATTGCTGCTACGGTCTACAAGACCCCCTCCGCCGGACCTGAAAGTTTGGTGAGCGAGGAATTGGAGTCCCGGATTTTTATCGTTTTGATGGTGTCCTGTCGTTGTCTCCTCATTTTTGATGTAGTGTCGCAGACCTTGCACTATCTGTCACGATGGTTAGTCTACAGTGGCATCAGTGTTTGCAACCGTTGCACCACTAAGTGAGGTGGTTTCGAGCAGGAGCTCTTGGAGACGGGTCGATACGTGGTCGCTGAACAACTTATACCTCATCAAGACCGCAAAGCAGCAAAGCCTTGAGAGCGACGTGCCAAACTCTCACAAGCCAGCGGCAGTCCCAATCATCGCTTTTCAATGCTGGCTCGAACAGCTATATCGAAGGACAGCTGCACCCAGTAGTCTTCGTTCTTGGTCTGTTGTCATGATTCTGTGATAATTGGATAGCCAGATCGCTACATAGATTGCCCTGTTATCTCGAACCCCGAGACGCAGGCCAAAGACTTTGCCTACCCTCTTTCCAGCATGATGGTTGTCCATGTTTGTCCGATACGTACAGCCCATTTCGCGGTATTCTTTCCAATCGCTGGTACATTCGCACAGATCGACCTTGGCGCTAACGCACGTGTAGGTTTCGCTTGAACGGACACGCATGCTGTGGTGGTTTTCCTTTCGGCATCATGTCCTCGAGGCTCGCGCGTGAACTCCTTCGGAGCACCTACTCGGAATCACACCTCACACCCTGTAGGGGAGAACTACTGCAACTGGCCTAACGACCGAGAGTGCATTGCACTACGTGAAGAGAAGCGCTGCTACTGTCACCCTTGCAATGCATGCCAATGTCTGGAGACCGGAGAAGTTGGACAGAACGAATGCTTGAAGACCCGTGCTCTCGGATCCTTACAACACGTACCACCCTTGTTCGTCCATGCCGCTTTTCCCCAGGATGGTTTCGCCACCGTGTCCGAATACACCAATGGTGACATGTTCGACCTGAGGCCGGGCGAACCTCTGGGGATTCGCGTCGACCTTGTGGCAGATTACTGCGAGCCTAGCGGCGAACATGTGACATATGTGAGTGCGTGCCTGGCGATTGAATTGGTTTTACCGCACTCCCTTCGTGTGTCTTATCCGAAACGAAGGGCTGCAGCCTACAATGATACCAGGTAGCACCCGTTGTCAGCGTATCATGGCTATCACACCCGACATTCTCTATTTACTGTAGTCACCTTCGGACTACACGCACAACCATAGCCGGCACTTCATCGAGGGACGAAGAATGCTTAACCCTGCACGGTGACTGTTACCCTTTCGGATAGCTAATCCGTCGCTCAGCCTCCTCACGTGCTCCCCGCGAAGCTGTGCGATTGCTCAACCTCCTTCGAGGTCATCGTCACCGTCAACGTTGAGCTTGATGCTTTCGTCTGCATCGCCTAACCAGAACCTTCCCCAACCACGCGTTTGTTCGTATGTGTTCGCCTGCCTTCGTCTTTCAGCGGTGCAACGACGGCGACAGGGAGAAATTTGGTTACGGGCCTGTTTCGAGACTCCTTCCCTTGGTTGACAGCATCGCCGTTCGGAAGGGTGCTCTGGCACACTTTGATCTGCGGATCAAAGCTTGCTCCAGCGTTGGCGCCGCCCTTGCTGAGGCATTAAAGATTCGGCAGCTTACGGACGAGGACGGCCTGGCCGAGCACCACCGCCGCTTGAAGCTGGAGATTGTGTCCCAGGTAGAGTTGACGCTATTCTCAAGCATTACCATTGTTTCCTCCACCCCCTTATTTAGTCTAAGCATGCAGTGAAGGATGAGCGCGAGATACAACGTGAGCAGGAGTGCCCGTCACGCATGTTGATCAAACGGTGAGATCATATCCGAGCCGTCTGCTTGGCGGTGCCGCCACTGCTATATATAGCGTTGGCGTACGTACGTGTACCATCCACGTTCTCGACGGGTTCCCCTCCTACGGCGAAACCGTGATGTTGACGAACTGCACTCTCATTCGCACTTGCCTTCCCCCCCCACAGGTTGTCATTCATCCTGGAGGGTGCCCAAGGTGCTCGATGCACATCCCTCAGTCAGCAGTGGTGTGCGAAATGTGTAATTTCCCAGTGCCGGACGGATTCGTGTACGCTCCGGATCCGGGAGGCGGTGCTGTGCATCCGGCAGCGGAGGTGGCGGAGGTAGCGCCAGCCAGACCTTCAGCGACCAACTAACGGGAGCTACACGTCCACTTACTTCCCAGGGGCGCGGGTCTCGGCGGGGTGAGCGAGGCGCAGACGAAGGGGGACCACATCTACAGCATGCGCAACGACATCATCCTCGTGGAAGAATTGCAGGGGAGGGGCAAGGTTGGAGAAAGTCGTACGTGGCGTGGTGGCGCTATACCGCGCGCAACAAGAACGAGGGTCTTGGACGTTAGGGCATGACCGATGACCAGTGCTGCGAGCAGTTGCGAAGCGAGTACGGGCTGTCCTGGCGCAATTTCGTCACGCTGAGGAATTACAACGAGGAGGAAGACTTGCCGTAATGGCGGGGGAAGTCACAGGGGAGGAGGAACTGACGGAGCGTGACGACGGGGAGGAGATATTCAAAAGATAAAGATAAAAAAGGAATGTTGACACCACAGGATGGAAATCAGAGTGGTGTCAATTAGTTTTCCCATACGATGCTTTCCCACCTTGCCGTGGTGTGTGGGCTTAAAGTCTATTTTCTGTTGTAGATTGAACCAAGAGGAAAGCCACCCCGCAAGAGGATATAATCTAGGAAACATCCTGCACCAAGATAAAGTAGAAACCCGCCCCAAAAAACCATATACTTCCCGATCGTACTATATTCTGAGGTCCTCTGAGGTATTGATCAAGGACGTGGAGTAGAACCCAAAGCTTGACATTCTACCCTACAGCGTGAAAGGTCAATGCCGTGGAGTCACAGGCCAGAATGCTTCTAAGGAAGCGAGACGTTGCTCATCTTTTGCCGCGCTAGGGGGTAGCTCGTCGATTCTGCGGTTGTTGTGTATCTGTATCACAGTGTAATGGTATTTGACCCCTTCCTTCAGAATCAATCACCTTTGAGCTGTGTGGAACTCTCTTGTCCGACCACAGTAGCAGGTTGTTGTTGCTTTCCGTTAATCTCTTTCTCTTGATTAACGCTTTCCAAACCAACTCACAATATCCCACGCACGCACGATCATAGATCGCCTGTACGCACACACTGAACAGAAGGGCACATGTCTCGGCATAAAGCCCTGATCTAGCATGACGTCACGTCTTATCATCCGACGGCGCCAAATAACCATGATCAACCACGATCACATGTCTACCTCCAAATACCATAGCAATAGCCCACCCTGAGTGGACGTAGATGCAGATACAGAAGCAAACCTCGGAGGGACTCTAGTCAATCAAGAGGATTGCGGGATGGATCGAAGATACGACAACTCAAAACCCTCACCCGCACCTCTCCGTTAACCAAACCAAAGAAGCGGCATCAAGAAAGAAGAAAACACAGAAGCCGGGGCGGCAAAGTCGGTGGATAAAATCGGAAAAAGGCACATGGGAGCGAAAAATAACCAAAACATCCGAACCGAAAAGACCATAACACGAAGTAACGAAATCGTGAAGAGAAATCACAAACGATCTCGCACGAATGAACCGATCGAACACGCAATCAAGTAAGCCAGAACTATACGGAAAGGGGGGCTACGATGCGATCGAGTGCTGAAATGTAAACATAAAGAATAACGAAAACCGAGCCTACAAAGGATCAAACGACATGGAAAACCGTTAGGGGTCGACCAAACTCGAGGAAGCGAACGAAGAAGACGTTTGTAGTTGGAGTATGTCCGGAGATTTTCCCTAGCCACCATAGAGCGTCTTGAGCCTTGTACCAGAAGTGTGCGCCTACAGGCAGCACGGTGTTGCGAAAACGGCGGGCCCAAACATCGCGGGGAACATATTCGTACCCAGGCGACGAGGACCGCTCGCCTTTGATGCGAGACAGTTCACGTTCCGCTGCGCCAATGCGCATGCGATGATACAGACGGTTAGTCTGCCGGTGTTGATCGGGTGTACCAGCCCAATACAGAAGAATCTGTTTTCGGGAGTGTTGGATGTCCATTTCTCGTTCCCACGAGGGCCGCAGAAGACCTTTCCAGTGGGTCTCGTACATGACTGCGATAACGCCGCCACGTCCTCGAACCGACTGGTGTCCCGTGATTTTCTCAACCTCGAGCCTGCGGACAGGCGCCGAAACATCGTCCGCGGTAACATGGTACGGCGGAGACTTCGTCGTGTAGTTGTTGAGAACATACTGCGTGAGGCCTGCAGGCAAAAACCGAGGCATGTCGTCACAATCGTGTGGGTTCGCACACGGTTTGCAACGAGCGACAGAAACTCGGTGCTTGGCATCCACTCCGGGCATATCGGAGGGAAGATCCAGATACAGGAGCATGTCAGCCACCGGACTGCCATCGGGAGCCTTGTTGCAAGGACCGACTGCGAGGATTTTAAAAGGACCTGTCCAATTCAAGGACAGCTTCTTCTTGAGTACCTGTGAGTCAGCGTCTGCGCGGGGTTTGGAAGTGAGTTTGGCACCTTGGCGGATGGTAGCCAAATGGTTGTAGACCCACACCCAAGCACCGGTAGCGTAAACGGGTAGTTTGTGTAAGGCATCAGACAGTTTCGAGTTCCGTCTTTCCATACGGGAAACTGTGAGTGCGTGTTGTTCACGCACTAGCTCGTAGGAGCGCCTTTGCCGATCGGCGGCAAGGTTGCAATACTCGAGCTGATCGCGGGCAAGCGATTGGTGACCACGAGCGTAAATGTCGTCAAAAACGGTCAGTGGAAACCTGGGAAGGCGTGCCATATGCACCTCATTGGGCGCCAATCCTGTGGCAGCGCTAACGGAGTTGTTGTACGCGAATTCAACATGAGGGAGATTAATATCCCAATCATCTTGTCGTTCGTTCACAACCATTGCCAGCATCTGGGCCATGGTGTGGTTCACGCGCTCAACTCCTCCGTTGCCGCTAGGGTGGTACGCGCTCGTCGTAATTTTTCGGACGCGTAGCAATTTTAGGATGGCAACCGACAGTTTGGAGCAAAACTGCAATCCATTGTCAGAAAGGATGCTGAGGGGGCATCCCCAAACAGGCATATATTTATTGACAAGGACGTCAGCTGTACCTTCAGCTGTGAACTCGGCGTCAGTCACTGTGTACATATTGACTCTCCGACTGAAACGGTCAGCGAATAGCAAAATATACGAGAAGCCTCGCGGAGTTGTGGGAAGCGGACCAAAATAGTCGACGCTAATCGCGACCCCTGGTGCCGAAGGCAGAGGGATCGTGAGAATCGGCCAGCGAGTAGTCTGGCGCGCAGTTTTGCGGGCCTGGCATTTCAACATCGCCGAATTCACCAACGAGTACTGATACTCATCCCAATCCACCAGTAAAACCTCTCAAGCAAGCTGAGCGTGCGAGCGGTACCAAGGTGGCAGAGGGCGTTGGCATGACAAGCTTGCATGACCCAAGGTCGCATTACCATGGGCACGTAAATACGAATGGGTTCGTCATTCAACAGACGTGCAGCTCGTCCTCCGGGACGGTCAGAAGAGACCGGGGGCTTGGTATTCTTTCGTACCAAGAGGCAAAGGCCATCGTCAGTGACGAGGCGTCCTTTATCTACAAGCTCTCGAATATCCTCCAACGATGGTCTATGCCTGGAGTGATATGACACTCCGGCAAAGAAATCGACAGGTAGACTCTGAGGGCGTTAGAGGAGAATGTAGCGGATGGTGGCTTCACACACCGGCTCTTTCTGCTGTTCCCGCGCCCAATCGGCACGCGTGTAGCGTTCGACGGACTCACGGAATTCTAACTGCAGGATTGAGGACCATGGAACCCACTGCGGGCGTTGCCTTACCAGCTCGAGCAGCCGGTTGTGACAAACCCAACAGAGGACCCGTAGGGGCGTCGGTAACCGTCTCCGGCGGCGCTATGGGCACCGTTGGGACAGGTTCGACAGCAGGCTCAGGCGTGGTGTCAGCTGGCGTCACTCGTGTTTGACGACGAGAAACGCCTGCAGCGGCAGCTGCACGCGGAGCGTGTGGGGGGATCGACAAATCAGGACCGAAACCGTAGTTTACATCGGGTTGAGGCTGACCCGCAGCAGCCGCGGTTCTGCGACGCGTACGAGTAGAGATCAGTTCCGACGGATCAATACGATGCGGTTGCAACCGAGAGGTCGAAGGCGGCGGCAGTGAGTCGGCGGCATCCAAACGATCAGAGTGGGAGCCGGCGTCGACAGTTGCGGTCGCAGGAGACACGACAGGGGGCAACCGAGAGTTATCGTCGGCGGTCTGTGTGTCGTGGACAGGGAGCGCAAATGCAGCTGTATCCGTGTGGGGTCGCGCAGACGGTCCGTAAACCGTGGCGGTGTCCCTATACAATGGTCTCATCGGAGACACAACAGGAGAAGCTGAAGACCGGAGTGCCGGCACAGCGCCCTGTTTTTTTCTGGGTTGCAGCGGAAATAACCTCAGGCACAGCAAATACGGAGTGGTCGGTGCAAGACAATGCACGATCGTCCGCACGGTGTCACAAAGATCCTAGCGCATGGACGTACGGCAAAACACGAGCGACGAATTCTCCCGCAGGAGCATCAAGGTCGTCAATCCTCATTCGAGGACCGTGTTTGCGAAAATCCGCAAAATCATCGGAAGTGAGGGGTAGCCCACCCAAAGCGGCGTTCTCGCTCGGGGGCGCCAGCCCACCCAAACCAACGCCAGGCGTGGTTTGTCCGGGTGGAGCGTGACCTGTCGCTCGGACCAGATACACACCAACGTCTTCTGGGGACGTCAAACTACTGTTACCGTTGATGTCGGCGGCAGTAGGCTCAATCGGCTTCGAGACAGCATGTCAGCATTTCCGTTGGAGGCACCTCGTTGGTACTCCAACGTGTAGCTGTATGCTTCAAGGAACTCAATCCAGCGTTGGACGCGTGGGTTGTGCTCACTGATTTTTGACAAACTTTCCAGCGCCTTATTGTCGGAATAGATGCGGAAGTGTGTGCCACGAAGGTATTCGCGGAGACGCTTGATCGCCCATACAACGGCTCGTGCTTCGAGATCGAGAGCGGTCCAGTTGCGTTCAGCGTCGAGCGTGGCTCTGCTGATGAAAACGATCGGCCGTACCGAGCCGTCTTTCTGCTCTTGCTCCAGCGCGGCGCCGAAACCGTCGGAGCTGGCGTCACAGCAAAGACGTAAAGGGCGTGTACCGTCCGCGATAGCGTCCCAATCGGGAAAAACTAAAATGGGCGGTTTCGCGAGCTCAGCCAGTAGGCTGCGAACAGTTGTTTCCATGTCGCTCGTGAAAGCGAAGGGAATACCTTTTTTGAGCAAGTGCGTAATGGACTTCACACGCTTGGCCATGTCTCTGAGGAAACGTCGGTAGTAGCTCAGACCACCCATGAGTGACCTGAGTTGCTTGACGGTCGTAGGCATGGGCATACCTGCCAGGGCGGCTACTTTACGGGCGTTGGGGAGGACACCTTTCGAAGATAGGGTGTGCCCCAAGAATTCAGCCTTGGTGGTACCGATGGTGGCCTTCGAGGGAGAAAGTTTGAGGTAGTACTTTCTCAACCGTTCGAAGAGCGTGCGCATATTACGGACATGCTGCAGTGGGCCTTCGTCAAAAACAACGACGTCATCGAGGTATGCCTCGACTCCATCGAGTCCTTTAATTACTTCGTTAATCACTTTTACAAAGTGGCCTGCGGATTGGCTACCACCCATCGGCATGCGGAGCCATTCGAACAAACGAGTGGAGGTCGCAAAGGCCGTAAGGGGGACAGTGTCCTTGTGGACAGTGATCTGGTGGAAGGAACCCGTGAAATCGAATAGCGAGAAAATCGAACCTCTGTTGAGTTTCGTTAGAATCTCGTCGACTCGGGGAATGGGAAGTTGACCAAAGCTGCTGATATGGTTCAACTTTCTTTAGTTAACCGTGATACGTATTCCACCAGCCTTCTTTGGTATTACCACAATGGGGCTGGAATAAGGAGAGGTCGAGTGCTGAATTAGGCCAGCAGCTAGATGCTGGTCCAAAATAGCATCGACTTGCTTCGCAACCAAAGGATTCATACGGTACGGTTTGGACGTCACAGGCGGAGCTGTGATGTTGCCCTGGTTACCCCGCCTTTGATTTCTCACCCCCGCCGACCATGCCAAAGAAAAGAAAGTGTATTCGTCGAACAAACAGAATGAATTGGCGTTTATTGGTGGATGGAACAGTTTCGGATTGTAGCGTCCTTAATTGTTTGGAAACCTGGGGTCAGAAGGGGAAGAAATTCGAACCCCCTTCCCTGTCATTCCTTTGAGAAGAGAGCGCGAAGTGGTGTAGCATGCCGAGTTACGAGAGGAAGCTGCAGAGCGTGCGAAGAGAAGGAAGGACAGCAGTATCCGCGCAACGTAGGAGGCGGCAGTATAGCAGAAATCCCGCCCTCCCATGCCTTTCCTTTCGAAGGTGGGGGAGTAAGCTCGGGAGTATTCTGTTTCTGGTTGGGGGGTGTTGTAGAATGGTGTGTACCATTCGGGGCTTGGTAAGTTTCGGGACTCCTACGTTTGCAGTCGTAGTCCCCCGGCTGGTATTGTTTGCGGGGAGTGAAACAGGTTTGAAAGAGTCAACGCCGTGCCTCGTAGTTAATAATGTGGCTGGGGAGACGAGGGGCGTTCCGTGTGTCTCACTCCCCAACGGTCTCCTCCTAGAAACCGAAGAAAAATAATAATGAAGCAATGCGAAAGAAAACAACAATAAACCCGTTATTCTTTGTCAGGAATGACTACATAGATAGACCGATGAGAAGATGAAGAACTCGTCTCGGGAGGTACAAAGACCGACCGGTACTACTGCCATCGGTCCGGACTCGTGGCGCCGATGGTTGTGACCGTGATGGATGCTACGATGGCGGGGTGAAAGGGTCAGCTCGGCCAGGGCTTTCGTCAGGCTATTCGGCAATCACATCCTTCCCGTCAAAGCCTGTCTCTGGGGGGGCGGTGTTTCCTTGATTGGTCAGGCCGCCGGATCGGCCATCTGATCGGTCTCTGTAGATCGAGATCTGATTCGCACAGCGGATCGTTCCCAGCATGTTTTCTCGATTGGGTCGCCGATAACGATCATCATACGGTGTTCTGCGGATGTTGCAATAAAAAAAAAACTCCGGCAGTAGTGGTATCATATTCTCGCGTATCAAGCCTTCTCTCGCAGCTGTACGTCAACGGCAAACACTCGTACAGCCGCCCCCATGTCAATAGACCAAAAATGTGGCCATGGTTACCCATGAAGCCATGAACCAGTGTTACTCCTCCGTCAATCCGCGGAGCGTCCACCCCTCCCTCAACGTGTATTTTTCCGAGTAGCGGATCCCCCGCTGTTTGATCATGTGCCTCACTGCTCACGGGTCGGGCCAGTTCCGCCCTTGTAGAAGCCATGGGTAAGAGGAGACCAAGAAGTCACCAGCCTAGCGGGTCGGCCGCAGGTCTCGGCTATGGCCTTGCGACCATCTTCGTCGCAGGGCTGGCGTTCGTGGACTCGTTCAACCTTGTGTTGCACCGTCATCATCATCGGAGCCAGTGCAGCAGCAATAATCCACAGCAGCAACAACGCCTTGGGCATGCTGGTGCCAGCAGCAGCAGCAGGTTGCGAGCAGCATCGTTTAGAGGCAAGGCATGCAGCAGCTGCTCCGCATCACCGCCTCGCAACGGCATCCCAGATGCCTCTCCCTCCCGCCGAACATCGGCGGGAGAGGACGGCGCATCGAAACGAACAGGTACCGGCTGCGTCACTACACGTACGCGTGCATCAGCATCGAAAAGCGCTTCTACTGCGGTAGACAAGCCGTCGATAACGCGGACACCAGCGTCTAGTGCTAATGGGAGGCATGGAGAGGCCGTAAGAGGCAGTGGGAGGGGCAAGGCAGGAGCTGCTGCGAATAATTCCAGACCTCGGTCTGTGGGAAAGAAGAGGACATTGCTGGAGCAGAAACAGCGACTGCAGCAGTCGATCGGGGAAGTTGAGGAGCGGGCTGTGAGCCGCGGCCAGCTAGTCAGCTCTTTCGCGCTAATGGGAGCGGCAACGGCATTGTTGGGGGCCGGTGGGATGGCCAGTGCAAGCACAGAGGTGGGCCACTGTTCTCTATTAGTACAAAGCACTTGTCTGAGGAGTAAAGTACGTGCGGTTTGTTGCTGTTTGGTAGCTGACGCACACCCAGAGGTGCGGGGTGATTAACTTTTAGGAGGAATGGGCACGCGCTCCATGTACCAAATTGTCTCCATAAATAACTACCGCTTGACACACGCGGAAAGCGTGTGTATACATGTCATGTGTCATGTGCGAGGCGTGCCGGCGAGGTTAGTCGAAGGGTTGGTTCTCTACGGCATCGTCCAACTTGCAAAACAACAGCAAATCGGAGATTCTCGGGTATGACGAGTTGTAATTCTCCTCTACAATGTAGACTAAAACTCGGAGTGTAGTCTATGCATGCTTCTAAGTATTTATTTTGATGCTTCTGAGTACAGCAGTACTCTGGTGTGTACAACCTGGTGCAGCAACTCTTACGGGAGGTACACACTTCATTGGAGATCGCAGACGTTATAGCAGTACAGCAGCCTAGGCAACCAGACAGACCACAGCAGACAGACGGCATCTGTGAAGCAGCGCGGTATTCTAAGTGCGCGACAAGGGAAATCTTGTGTTGAGCGCGAAACAACGAACGACCACGTGGTCTTTAATCGCCAAGACTTGTATCATAGGTGTAGCGGGTAAGGGCGCCTTCCTTACTTGGTCATCAATGTTGGCGGTGGTGGCGTCTTGGACGTGCGCCACCCGCGGTCATCTTCAAACGCATTTGCTCTTCTCTTGGTGCGGGCTAGTATGCTATGCGGGTGAAAGTGCTGTGACAATTTTTTTTGTGCTTAGCACCAGCTGGTTACCACTGGTGTAATTCATAGTGTTGGCTTACAACAGCCTCAACATAAGCCCAGTTTCCAGCCGGTTTCCCTCCACTCACTGAAAAGACTTGAGCACATCCCTCTCGAGCGTGGTTATTTCTCCAACGGGGAGTCTTTCTGGTGGATAATGTACATTTTCTTACAAAAAGTCTTGCCGCAGGAGTACAGTAGCACGCGGACCGGTTGCTTGGATCGGAGCTTGCACCACACGCCCCACCCGTGGGTACCAATGCACCCATTATCGATTATCAATTCAGAGCTAGCTGGCTTTGCAACACAAGTTACACGCCGGAACGCTGTAGCGGTATACCTTTGATTGTGGAGGGGGGGCACCGTAGTGGTGTAACTAGCGAGCATGTCGCATCCAGAACCCCCAAGTGCTACAAGACGTGAACCTCTTCCTCCTCTGCGGCCTATGGTCACTCCCCACACATCACGATACCATTTTTTTTACCACATGGTGCATCGAGGCAGTGCCTTGAGGAAAGGACGTGCGCTTGCTTGCGGAAACCACAACTACTATATACGAACACCCATCGTACGTAATAACGCACCAATGCGCTTTTTACACGTCCTGACGCCAAAACGCTGTCCTCTTATGCATACACTTGCACACGACTGCTCGCGTACAAGCTGGGGGAGCAACTGGACGAGATCGTTGTGTGGAGCCCAAAGTCAGAGATCATGAAGCGGGCCAAGTCTACCGGGGGGAGGACCGCGACAGGCACAAACGAGACGTGAGTAACCGCACCAACAGAAGCAGCAGCAGCAGCAGCAGCTTGGACAGGACAGAACCGGTCTCCCTATGATGTAGTGTACCGCTTCAGACGCTGACGCTCTGGGCTAACCCTGATGTTGCTTACGGCCAAAACAGTTCAGGCTCTAGACGAGCCCTGATTTGTTTTACATCCCAAACTCTCAGGTTCTAGACTGACCCTGATGTAGTTTACCACCTGAACGCTCAAGATCTGGACTAAGCCTGACCATGAGGAGGCTTGGGGGGATGAGGGCATGCAAGGAGATCTATCCGGCGTGCAGCAAGCAAGTACCGTAAGATGCCACACCCCCTGGACGGATCGACTTTCAAATCTCGATTACTCTGCAGCAATGGCGGCGTTGAAACCGGCTCGTCGAGAGCTTTCCGAACGCATAATGCGTGCATGGCTTTGCTGTTGTTCATAGATCTCGTCGTAAGCCTGTACCATACAGCAGTATGATAGCAACTCTAACGAGATTGTTTTGTCCTAACGTAGCTGGAGCTAGCTCACCTCTTTTTAAAAGCACTGTGCCAGTTATCGTCGAAATTCTCGTACTTTTTACTGCTGTTTTACTTTTGTGCTTCCCTCAAAAGTCCGGATCCCTTGGTGTCTCACATGTGTTTTACAATTGTTTTCGCGCGGCCGCATCCCTGCTACTGGTATTGTTCTGGTTGTGCAGGTACCCAGTGCGTTTCGTCACGTACCTGGCGCGCTTCCTTCTGAACTACGACAAGGCTAGCAGGCAGCTGTGGGATAGAATGGCCACCACCATCCCGATCAACTTCAGGTACTTACTTCTAGATACGCTGTACCGTACCACGTTTTGGCGATGCCGACCCGTATCGCACAGCGCGCTATTCCGTGTCGCAACGTAACATACCGTGGAACTTCCCGCACCATACCTAACGGCACCGGGTGGGCGGCCACCTGTCAGACAGAAAGCGTCCAGATATGTATATACAGCAATGTATAGCTTGACGGAGTTCACCACGCGGTGCCCCCCCCTCCTCTCTATTTCGTTCTCGACACCCCCACCTCTGTATTGGCAGCATGCTTGAGGTGGAAGCGGTGCGGCGGGATCAGTTTGCCGAGTTCGCTAAGGCTGTGCAGGTGGGGCTGCTGGACTTCCAGGGTCCGCAAGGAATAAAGGCGTTCTTCTCGCTCATGCGCTCCAGATATGGCCAGGTGAATTTTTGTTGTTTTTGTTCTCGTTTACTGGACTTCGCCACGCGTGGCAAGAAAAAGCAAATCCCTGTGTTGCCTTTCCCGCTGCGTGACTGACCCCCGCTGATGCATCATACATTTTGTACGTCAAGCACACGTGTGCAAGGAATGGGACAGACTGATCAGAATGGATGGGACGAATACACCCACCCAAGTAGAGGCGGTGCACATCTCGGGCATCGTTTTCCACCGCCGAACATGCTTTGCGGGTTGCGTGTGCGGGTTGCGATACATCCTGATACGCGTTGATTGTTTGTATCGGTTCACCTTTGCCTGTTGGTATCTGAGGTTGCTGATTGCAGGGGGCTGGAATGAGAGGGCAAGGCCTCGCCTTCGCTTCGAGTGCGCTCCTGTGTGAGCGAATAAGACCACCTGGTTGAGAGAAAGTCATGTTTTTTTTTGTGTGTGTTTGTTGAACACGCGAGTTCGGCTGCATGCGGTAGGGTTCCCGCCCTAGTCCCAGTTACAAATGATCCATCTATGTAGTTCGTGACAACGATCTCGAAACTTTGAGGAAATGTGCACCATCGGACAGAGGTTTAGGATAAAAGGCAAATTATTCGTGCTTCATACAGCAACAGCAGCGGCCCTAACCTTACGGAGTGGCCTCTCGTTGTGTCATGCGATGCAGCGGTATCGTGATAAGCTAAGCCTGCTACAGTAGAAGCACGAGGCGACTCTATTGACCTCCAGAGGGCTCCAGAGAGGAGAGAGAAGCTGACCCCCCCCCTCCCTCGCATTTTTTCCCCCCGAACCACCGCCAACAGCAGCACCCTCCCAACAACTGTTCTCATACATGGTACGTTCCACGGAATGCCTCCCGATTTCCGAACGTTTCACGGAATGTTTGCGTGCAAATTGACGCAGGGTGAGGAGTGCAAGAGGCAGCTGGCCATTCTGTTCAGCTTTATGGAGGAATCTCAGCCGACTGAGTCGATCGAATTGCTCTTGGGAGAGGTTGACAACGGTCAAGTCAACAACATCGTCGTCACTGATCCAGGCGGAGGATACACTGGCAAGGTTCCCAAGGTGGGACGGTACAACATATGGTAGAACTTGTGTGTGTTTGGTGCATGAATTATTTTGTCGACTCTTTGTTCATTTTTTATTGTTTTTTGGAGGTCGTTTTTTTTTTTTTTTCATTCTTTTGAAGCGCTTTATATTTTGTAGTTTTGTTCTATTGCAGATGTGCAATGATAGTATCGGCGCTGAGAGGTGGTTTTGCTTTGCCGCCCTCGTGGACATTTCATGGCGGTATTGGTTGGGTGGAAGAGTTTTTTATTGGATGAATATAGATAAATAGCTGCTTGGGGGTACGGCTACAGTAGTTGTTTGCTGAAATAAGTAGGGCTTAGGAATCAGTATACGGAAAACTAGGGCATTTTTCGCAGAGGACATCGACAGTACAGCAGTATCCCCTCATTTTCTTTCCCCTATTCACGACGAAGTGGACAGACACACCAACCCGTGCGGGCAAGAGGTGGTGCCACTGTTTGATCCCATACTTGATGAGGAGAAGAACTGACTCGAAAAAACACTGGCGTATGCGGCAGAGCTGCTCGTCAGCGTGACGAAATTGATTGGATGGACTGGTGGAGGTTGATTTTTTCACTCGTGTCTGTCTGGGTCATGTCCCAGGTGGATCTTGTTTTCGTTGCTGACTCTGACGATGCACCGTTTTCTTGAGCCGCCGCACCGCGCCTGCCCGCATCTATCGTTGTGATGTGTATCGCGTCGTTGTCGTTGTCTTTAACGTTGCTGCTGTTGCGTCTTCTCCTTCTCCTTCTCGTTCTTCTGCTGCTGCTGTTGTTGTTACTATTTGATGGGTGCTGCTGCCGATGGCGTATGCTTGTCACTGATTGGTCAAAGGTTACGGTGTCTGGATCCCAAGCCGGGAAGCAGGCCACCGCTCGAGTCGTCCTGAGGGAGACAGGCCACTTGGTGGGCGTTCGACTCAAAGACTGCGGCTCAAGGTAGACGCCAGAGTGCATGCTGATTGACGAAGTCACGTTTGAGGTCGTTGTCGCCCGTGCTGTTTGCGGTGGTGTTAGTTGCGTTGTTGGTGTCCTTCTTGCTGCGTTGTTGGTGTCCTTCTCTCCGTCGACGTTGTCGTCGGCGAACGCTTACGCTAGCCTATCCTTGCCTTGGTGGTGAAGTTGATGGCGTTCGCGTGAAGGTCAAGATGCGGACGGTGGACGCGATGTTGATGACGCTACAATACCGCACTCTTGACGGCTTCAGAAATCTCGAATACAAGACTTGTACAGCGGTACAATGCCCGTGACCCCTTGAGCGCCGTACATCGTACCACGTTTTTTTTTTGTAAATATGAAGACAACGAAACAACGACAACAATAGACTCTCGTGTCCGGTGTCCTCAATCAAGTGGTGCGTCCTGCTTCAGGATTGAGGCATCGTGTGATTACTTTTTGGTTCATTCCTAGAGTTTCTCTTCCCACACACACGTGTACTCCTCCGGCCCGGCTGTCAGTTCACTGGAGAGATAAAAGCAACGAGTTATCAACCCCCCATGTATGCCATCGAACACCCTTCCTTGTCGACTCCTTTTTCTTTTTCTTTTTTTTTGCAGCAAAAGCTTCGAAGCCCCTCCGCGAGTGTACGTGAGTGCTCCTGCGGATCCCGAGGGAGTTCAGGCCGAGGCGAGGGCTATCTTGGACAAGAGGCAGGGCTCCATCTCCGCCATCGAGATCACCAACCCCGGGTCCGGGTACAACACGGCTCTTGCCCCCGTAACGGTGGAGGTGAGCGGGTGTCTTGGTGTTGGTGGCGGTGGTGTGGATTTTGCTGTGTTTTTCGTCCCGTATTTATGTTCCATGTGGTACCGGTATTCCATCTCTTGCCCGCGTAGCGGTCGAGGTGAGCGGGTGTCTTGGTGTGGTGGCGCTGGTATGGATTTCGTCGTGGTTTTTTCGTCCCGTATTCATGTTCCACCACCTCTTGCTCCCGTCACGGCAGATGTGAGCGGGTGTTTGGTGGTGGTGATGGTGGGCCCTTTTTTTGTTGTTTTTCTCGTCCCGTATTTGTGTGGTGTTTCATGTGGTGCCGGTATTCCGTGATTGTTGCGTCGTGTTTGTTCCGAGACGGTTGATTGGGGTACATATTTGTTGAGTCTTGAGTGTTTCTCCTGAGATGGTCGACACAAAGCACACACAAGCGGCGCGCGCGTATTTCTCAGTTGACATCCATGTTTTTTGTTGCCAAGACAACAACCCGACGGAGCATCTCGCCAACTGTGGAGTTCCGCCATGACCTGGGAATACCACCACGCCAGGAACTAGCTGGCAGCAATGGTTCGATGCATGTCCCTGCCTTCTTCTTTTCAAATTGTTTTTGTTGCACTAACAAGGTGTTCGGGTCGGACGTGGACGAAACGGGCGACTACCTGGTGGAAAGCGTGTTGAACGAGGGTACCGGGGGGGCTATGGGAGAGACCGCTTGCCCGTCTAACTTTGTGGCAGAGGCGATCGTCGACCGGGAAGTGGTGAGACATGCAGACAGACAACAGTCACTTCATCCTACCCTATCCTATCCTCTTGGCGACACCGTCATGGGTACAACGTTGTTGCTGTTGCTGTTGCTGTTGCTGCTGCTGCTGCTGCTGCTGCTGCTGTAGGTAATATTGTCCTCGTCGTTGTTGTTGTTGTTGTCATGTTGTTGTTATTGTTGTCTTGGTTCATACGGCAGTTTGGTGATCATTTCCAACACATTGAGGGCTACGCTGGCTGTGTTTCCCTCATGACGCCCCCCCCCCCTCCCCCCATTCTGTATTATGTATGTGTTTGTCTGTCGAAAGGTTCTGTGGAGATTTTGACCCATGGTGACGGTTACGCCACTTCGGTCCCCCTGGTGGTAGAGATACACTCTCCGGAAGAAAGCGAAAGCCGCCCATGTAGGTTTAAAGTTTCCTTCCCACCACCGAAACCTCCCGGTACCGGACATGTAGCGTCCTTAATAAC